TATCTTGGTCAAAACTGTTTTCGTGTCTCTAAATCCCACCGATTGGAAGCATATCGTGGGACTCGCTCCAGCTGGTGCTCTTATCGGATGCGATTATGCAGGTATCGTGGAGGAAGTGGGAAAGAACGTAAAGAAACAATTCAGAAAGGGGGATCGGGTTTACGGATTAGCTCATGGGGGCAATGCAGATTAACTTGAAGATGGGTCCTTCGCGGAGTATATCGTGGCAAAAGGTGATATCCAGACTAAGATTCCCGATAACCTCAGCTTCCAAGAAGCGGCGACACTAGGGGTCGGACTCACCACGGTGGGCCAATCACTCTATCAGTCCCTAGAGCTTGCGCCTCCAACAGAACCTATCCAAGACGCAGTCTCTATTCTCATCTACGGCGGTTCAACAGCAACAGGAACGCTGACCATTTAATTTGCCAAACTCTCGGGTTATACTGTCCTAACCACTTGCTCGCCACATAATTACAAGCTGGTGAGGAGTCGTGGAGCTGATATGGTCTTTGATTACAATGAACATCATTCAGCCACCAAGATCCGTCGGTACACCCAGAACAGTCTCGAACTAGCGCTTGATACTATTGCCATCGAATACACTGCCCAGTATTGCGTCGACGCTCTTTCTACTGAAGGAGGCAAATACATTACTCTCAACTATGTGGCCATCCCACAGTCCAATATCAGAGATCGCTGGACCCTTAGTTATACTGCGTTCGGAGAGAAATTCATATTCGGACCCACCCGCTTCCCTGCTAAGCCTAAAGATAAGGAATTCATGGAGCAGTTTTGGTCCATTGCCGAGAGGCTTGTCGCTGAGGGCAAAATCAAGGTTCACCCACTCCGTGTGCGCGCCGGCGGGCTAAAAGGACTCTTGGAAGGACTACAACTCATGAGAAAGGGCAAAGTAAGCGGGGAGAAGCTGGTCTATAATCACAGATACATGAGGCGGGGACGGACTCTGGGCTTCCATGCCGAATCGGGGGCTACTCAATGATTGGCGTGTCGGCAGAACAGCAGACGTGGCCGGCCTGGGCTTCGAGATGTCCAATGTTGGCATAGATCTTTCGATCCTAGCCTGCCCCTGTACATGATCCAGCGGCTGCAGCTGCGGCCCGCTAAGAAAGCCAGCATCATCGGCACCTTTCTCTTGGGGTATTGTAGGTGCTCAAATCGCTTTCAGGGCCTTAGTTCCGCGATCTGATCCTCCTTTGCAGCGTGTGTGTATCTTGCGCTGTGCGCACGTATTACATCTGGGACCCAGCGGCAGGGGAAGCTCGTATGTACTTGGCCGACCTTATCCATGCCTCGCCTTCCCTTCCCATCCCGGCCCCCTTCCTTGAAACTGAATTCTTTTTGACCTCTTACTCCCAAATAGGCTCATTATCCATTTCTATGGACTGGAGCACTATCGAACCAGTTACGGCCCTCCTGTGCGACAGCCTCCCTACCTATGGGCCCATCTATCTCGAAAGGAAGCCTTGCCACGACCCTCAAATCATGGTACTCCTCGCTGCTTTGCACGTTTCGATCGTCGCGCTCGCGTGCGACCGCCGTAGAGCCCAATAATTTGGTAATGACGAGTCAATATCCCAAGTACAATGAGCTGATGGACGGGTGTGGTGCGCGCGTTACCGTGGCGGCAGCGCGCTTGCCCCCACGCGAGAGCGAGCCGCACGAGATGTATCGCATCCGTGTGCATCGGAGCGTTGAGGTGGTGTGAATCCGCCGCTCTTCTCTTTCATCTTTTCGCTTTTCCGCATTAGATATGAGATGACATTACCACAGTGACAGCCCGTGCGAGCTACTGAGCTCGATCATTGTGTGGTCGTGTATAAGTGTGTATCATGCTTCTGTTAGTTCAGCGAATATTTGCCCTATCCTAAGCTACTAAGAAGAGGGCTGCTACACTTTCTACCCCTGCTTGTCTTCTCTGCCTTCGTAGATACCGGATGGATCTTTGCACTGGTCGTGTGGTTGCCAGACAGTTAAGGATTTTAGTATTAGTTTCTATGTGTTAAACTCAAAACCCACACATGCCCGCAGCCAGGTAAACATATGAACACGCTAGCTTTTAGCGTAAATGGTTATACCCCGGTATTTGGTCTTCAGTCCGTCTCGCGAGGCCTGACGAGAGTGCATGACCCGTAGCCCAGTAGCAGTCGGGTCTGAAGTACTGCACAGTAACACAGGGTTAATTGTAAGCAGAGGAGAGTTTTTGGCCCCAATACTGACCCCTTTTTCCGTAGCGAAGTGTCCGTGGAGTATCAGCACTCGCATGGGTCTTTGCACCACCTTTCAAGGGCCTAATGCTCTATAGTAGATAGTGCACAAAGAAGCTTTCGCCTACCATTCCACTACGCAGTACCCCGAGGTGGGGTGTGCCACAGATGGAGATATATTTGGGCACAGAGGAGTAATGGTAGGTTTTGAACTCGGCCACCAAACGTAAGCCCTAATCGTAATACTATGCCGTTCGGAATATATCCAAAGAACGAAACAAGTATTTTGCTCTTTTTGCTTTTACACTTTATTTCTCCTTTTTTCTCGACCCCGGGTAATATTATTAACGGCCGAAAGTTTTGTTTTCACAAGAATTTGGATCTTGTGTCTTGGATTGATTTCTGGTTGTGTCGGATACATGGCGGGAGGGATTGTTAACGTCACATGCTCTACCAACCCTTATTGGATCTTTTCTTTGTTACCTTCCAGTGATCAGCACATCACCAACTATGACTGTCAGAGGTCTGCAAGCGTACACATCTAGAATATATTAAATACAATCCTGTCTGCATTAAAAGGGTTGCCTCACGTTATCAAAGAATAAGCAGTCTCGCCAGACATGTGGTCCGTCACCTACGCAACCCTCCCTTCGCACCCGCCATCCCTTCAAGTTCCTCTATACAACTTGGTTTCTTGCCACTCTGCCGCTTCGCGTGCTAGGCATTCTCATCTACTACATACCTGGATTCACCCGTGCTCATCCTCAATGAACTTACCGGCAGGCGGTGGCCACCAAACTCATCCGCGTCTATTTCAAATTCGCCACAACGGTTGAATACCGCACAACTAAATCCTTAGATGCCGGTGCGGACAAGGCACGGTTTGTACTCATCGATCCGGCTCAGGTCGATGGATCTGGCTCGTACTATAACGGCGTGCTCACCAGCAATCCGACCATCCGTCCAGTTCCGGTTGCAGGCCTATGGTACCAAGCACCTCCGCCGGCGGGGGCGATTCCTCCGCTAGTAACCCTCCATTTTCACGGGGGCGCATTTGTGCTCGGCGGCGCCCGCCCCGCCGAGGGAGGCTGGGGTCCCTCCGTGATGAGCAAGCACATGGACTGTTCGGTGCTACTGCCACAATACCGACTCTCCAGTTCCCAAGACCAGACCTCATGCTTCCCCGCCGCGCTCCAGGATGCAGTAACCGCCTATGCATATCTCCTGAACACCCTCCACGTACATCCGCAGAATGTCGTGCTTTCGGGGGACTCGGCGGGGGCGAACCTGGTCGTAGCGCTGCTGCGCTTTCTCGGGGAGGAGGGTAAAGCGCTACCCCGTGCTGCTCTGCTCTGGGGCCCGTGGGTCAATCCAGCGCGCATCCCTACATCAGTCCCCTCGGGAATGAGTTCCACACAGAGGTGCCTATCTTTCTTCAGACCGGTACCGCCGAAGTCTTGCACGACAGTCATCTCCTCTTTGCTCGGAACATGAAAGAACAGGGTTGTAAGGTGGAGCTGGTGGAGCTTGCCAATGCCCCGCATAATACGGTTCCGGGGGTCGGACTCTAGGGTTTCGCGAGGCTGAGGATGCTATCGAGCAGGCGGCAGATTTGTCAAAGAGGCTGGAAAAGATCGCGGCCCTGGATCACTGTAGCGTGTAGTTTAGGGCCTTGTACCGTAGACAAGATTTCACGAGATCTCGGTTGTAGATGAGTCGGTTTGTCTCCGCTGTTCTAGGCGGCTTTGGGGGAATCCAATGGCCAGCTGCCCATTACCTCAGACATTTTGTTGAGCTACAAGATATGTATTTAGTATCAAGCGGGATGATTCGGCTTTCCAAGGGGCCAACCTGTATGCAATCTGTTTTTTTCCTAATCTGGGATTGAAAGCCCTTAACAAGCTTGGAGACTGGAGCATGTATGTGTATCACAATCGGCAACCCTTCAATTGTAATCAATCCTACATTCAGTACGTTGCATTTTATCAAGACGCTTTCACAGGAAAGGTTCAGTACACTCCCTTGAATGATATTATTTCAGCCAACTATCATAGTACAGGTAAGCATCTGCTTACTGCATGAATACGCGCATGATAGATAAACAGTAAGACAAGCAAGGGCTATAGAGTTTTGCAAAGTCCACCTCTTGGCCCCCAGTATTGGCATGTGCAGCTTATTCTATGTGTAGCACAGATACCAGGACATTAACCTGGGAATCGAGTGCTGAATTTCAGGGGACGGTGTCGTCCATGTGGTGGAACCAAATCAGAATCTATACTAGGCTAGGATGTTGACCGGGATGTTACCACCGGTAGAAGTATTGATTTTGATTCAGCTACCTGATCCATGTATGAATACGAGGCTGACTGTCTCGGTGCGAGCGATAATTAACGCTGCCGTTATTGTACACATCTGCGGCTATGTTACACAGATGTATGTCAGCGGATGGCATGCACTACGAAAATTGCTACCTTAAAGAGTCCGAGGTAAATACAAATATACTTCCAATGGGATTCTGTACCAATTAAGTGGATCGCTGTTGTCTGGTGAAACAACGAAATCAGTGATAATGCCTCTGTAACTCTACCCAATTCCGGTCGCTATCTCCATTGCTCTTCATTAGAATTAGTCTCTTATATGCATTTCGCAAGGCCTGGCTAGACCCATCCGGGAAAAGTTCCTGAGGACCCAGCCGACAGGCGGTACAACCCGACGCTAAACTGAACAGAACCGAATCATGGAAATGGAAATGGGAATGGAATGGAAAAAAAGTGGACTTGAAGGGAATTGAACCCCTGACTTCTCGCATGCGAAGCGAGCACTCTACCACTGAGTTACAAGCCCAATGGGACCTGTGGATGTTTGCGCTTTAATAAATTATAATAGAAGAGCCATACTATCACCTTTCGTGATTTACTAATTCTTCATCTTGATGGTTAGTTACTAACTTGTAGATGTGTGTAGTGAAGTATGCTTGATATGTATTTAGGTAATCTAGCATGTCAAGATCCTTTTTTTTTTTAGGTCTCAACAGATATTATCAATTTGGCAGAAGCTGGTGGTTTTCATTAGACTATGGTGCAGATATATATTGTCATTGGGAGTAGTATATGTTTACTGTCAACTTGAAAGGTAGGAAGCACTCGCGATAAATTCTGTGAACTCAAGAGGCTTCTAAGGCTTAAGGTACAAAAGAACAATATACTAGCCTATACCTATGGTGTGATTAGATGCTTATAGCATATTGAGCCTGCCGAGTGGGGGATCCTGATTAGCTTGTACTCGACGAATTCTGCTGCTAAGCGTACTATGTCTCCAACAATCAATCAATTCGATTATCAACTGTATTGAGATATATAGTATAGAATATCATCATTGTGGGTCTGCCTAGTTGCATTTGAAGCGAGATCGAGTCCTAAAATCTCAAGATAGACCCCAGTTTCTGAAACGGTACATATACTGGCGTGCAATCCTTCCCTATTCGGCAAAGCCGTATTTTTGATCCCGCTCGGTGTCTTTAATCTGCCATTGTAGAGGGCTAGACCCTGTTATCTAACTGTTAGATACATACAAGGAATTGTTGAAGAAGATAAATCTATGCGACGCGCTGAAGATAGTTTCCGCGTCCAGGTCACGTGGCTGTCAAGCACTCCGAAGGTGGAACCGAGTGCTATGCAGGCGTAGCCTGTGACAGCCATGAACGCTTGTTTTCCATTCTCAACTCCACTAGTTTGGAGTCACAGCGGCAGGTCCTACAGGATATTATCCAGGCCAAACATGCCTATGCAGTCGCCTTGCACGAACAATGTGAAAACGCATAAAATCCGTCGGAGTCATTCAGGCTGTAGGCCATGCCGCAGAAGAGGCAAACGAGTCAGTGAATGCCCCAGTACCATTAATGGGCCTCCTCTAATCTTCTCCAGTGCGATGAGACAAAGCCCACCTGCCGGGCCTGCACAAGGTTGTCACTGGAATGCAGCTATGGTGTTAACTATAGTTTTCGGAACTTCGACGGGGCATTAGTCCAGCAGCATGCTTCCACTCGACTAGCCACGCCCGCAAAACCTAGGCTGTCGGACGATGGGCTAGGCACAAAACATAGCCTTTATATATTCAACCCCATCGAAGAACTTTCAAACAGAAAACTACCAGCTAGTCTCTGCTCTGAGGACGATGTTGAGCTCAGCTATCTCAACCATTTTGTACGTCATGTGCGCTATCTCTTTCCTGCAGCTGCTCTACAATGTACAGACGGATTCCTCCACTCTCCCTGTTTGCGGTTCGCCGTGCTTTGCATCTCAGCATCTAACCTCTCGATGCTAAACGCGCGAGTTCAAAGTCGTATCTTGACCGATAACAGTCGAAGATCTGTCTTCAGCCCACTCGTGAACCATGTGCATCATGACCATGCCCAGAAATACCACGACCTGGCGGTCTGGTATTATCGCAATGCAGAACTCGACGAGGTCAAACATCAAGCACCTGCACTCCTTGCTGCGCACATTCTCCTCGCCTATTACCACCATGCATCAACGAATCATCTGAGATTTCGATTGGCGGTAGCGGATTCTGTCCGTTTCGTTCTGCAGAACAGGGCGAATATAAGTGACTCACCAGAGGGGGCTGATTCCTTGCAAATGTGGTACCGTCTGTGCACATCTCACCGACCGGCAAAGCCACCTGCGCTACTTCTTGAAGGAGAAGGAGTTAGTTCTTTCGGCCAGAATCTGCTTCCAGATGTTACTGAGCATTTGTATCTCCGTTGTATTGTAGGAATGAGCGTGGATGACCTTATCTATGATATTCTTATCAAGACGCTGGAAATTCGGACGAAGATGGTGGTGTTTCGTTGCGTTGCAGGCATCTACCAGATATCTGAGCTGTCAAGTGAGATCGGTAGCCGAGCCCATGAAGTCTTGAATAAAATGCTTGGAAGAGAATGTTTGCCGGAAGAGTACGCGGAGGCCAGGGAAGGCTTTGTACGAGGCTCACATTTGAAGGGCTTATTGGAAGTTCAAAGAGAAAGATTGAAAGTGTGGCGATCTAGACTCAGCAAGGATCAACAGCCGTTTGATCGCCGTTTTAACCCGTGTAAACAATGTCAACCAAGTTCGACTATTTCAGCTTGCCCCACTTGCCAGCAATATCCGAGTCATCGAGATGCCATGAACGCGTTATATTGCATGCTCTGCGAGATGGCGTTCGAAGAAGCTGACGAAAATCCTACGTCGGATGGGATGTACACAACCATGCACAACCATTCTGCTGATCGAATTATCTGTATAGCATACAGTGTGTGTCAAATCGCTAGCAGAGTGAATTACGCCCTGTCGAACAATTCGGATGTGTACACTCTCAGCCTCGCAGAGGTACTGCTTCAACTGGTATTCCTTTCGCGATCGAATGTGCTATTCCACTACATCTTGGATGTTCTATGGCCACAGCTAGAGATGAACGGGAGAGGGTATGAGCACTCCCACTACCCCACGCATCTCGTCAAGCGGGTTATAGCCCAAATTGCAGAATACTGGGAGGAAGGTCGGGTAGTCACTTATGCTTTGCCAGCAGTGGCAGAGAATATATCGAAATTCAGGCTGTTGGATATCGACCATCCAGTAGAACTGGTGGTCTGCGGATATAACATGGATGGCAAACATTTCATTGAGAAAGTTCCACTTCCATAGTATTTGTCTTGCTTACATTGGGTTTAGCTACGCTATACCACCTCTGTATACCATTGAATTGTATTGGCGAGAAATCTTTTCGTACACAAAAATACTGAAATCCTTAGCCCCAAGTGTGGGTATTATTTAGATATATTGTGTCAAGGATGGGATGACTTCAACCGCGGGGATTTGCAATATCTTTGAATATCACATTCAAAGATCTAAACCCACCTTGGACAAATTTTACGCCCGTAATGGGAGTTACGCTGGTGCCAAGCACCACTTAACCAACTTGATCGACTTCTCCCGTACTTGCTGGCTAAATTGTGGAGAATATCGCGGCCCTAACCCACCTTGGAAAATGTTTACGCCCGTAAGTAATGACCATTACAGCTTGCTTGGTTCTCTTTTACGCCTGTTGAGGACGCAGAAATGACATGCGTAAACATATTTAAGCACTCTCATAACCCCCTCCAAAGCCTGGAAATGTGAGCTTCTGTTCAAATAACTACCTACATCGTAAATGGATCCCGTGTGGACAAAACTACTCTCTGATGCCTCTATCCAGAGGTCATCTCAAACCCTATCCGTCATCGCCGGCAATGCATACCTCTATGGCGGGGAGCTGCGGCCCCGTGAACCGGTAGACTCAGTTATATATCGCATAGCTGTAGACCATGGTAAGCATGCACTATCTGATAGCAAGATAGAGCACAACGCTAACTAAGGTACAAGCAGACGGAGCTCCGGAGAACAGGATATCGGCGATAACCAACAGCACCTCCAATAAACCCCAACCAAGAGTCGGAGCTGCATCTACCGCAATCAACGGGAAAATCTATGTTTTCTCTGGCCGCGGCGGGACGGCCATGGCTCCGATAGAAGAAGCAGGCTCATTCTGGGTTTTCGATCCAAGCACTAGCACCTGGGTTCAAGTCACTCCTGCTGATCCTCAGGCTCCATATCCTGCCGGACGTAGCTACTATGCTCTTACAAGCAACGGGGATAATACGATCTTCCTTCATGCCGGCTGTCCTGAGAAAGGCCGGCTTTGCGATCTCTGGGCGTTCGATGTCGTGACTCGCCAGTGGCGGGAGTTGGCCCCTGCGCCTGGGCCATCGAGAGGTGGTACGTCAATTGCGTATGCGGAGGGGAAGCTTTTCCGGATGAACGGCTTTGATGGGAATAAGGAACAAGGAGGTGCGTTGGATGTGTTTGACCCGGAGAAGAACATTTGGGATACCATCTCGTATCCGGCAGATGGGATCTCGGGGCCAAGTGCACGGAGTGTGAGCTGTTTGCTGGCGCTGAGGGTTTCTGGGAAGCCTATTCTGGTCACTATGTTTGGGGAGCATGACCCCAGTAGTTTAGGTCACCAGGGAGCTGGTAAAATGCTTGCAGATGTGTGGATCTATGATATTGAGTCTCGGGAATGGACGGAGATCCCGGTGGCTGATAAGAACACACCTGAGGGGCGTGGATGGTTTGATGCGGATGTGATTGCAGACAGTGCACGACCCGGGATTGTTGTTCACGGCGGACTTGCCGAGTCTAATGACCGTCTAGGGGACTTGTGGCGGCTGGACTTTTGATATGACTTTGATCTACTAGCAAATTTGAGCCAATGCCGCATTAGAAGTTAACTTACTCTGATAGTTGCATTTAATGGAATCTGTGATGGCCTTCGCCAATTGACTTCCATATTGGATTTATTGTAGAATTTAGCATAGCTGAGAGCTATAGAACGTCGAAAACATGCTATACAGTGACAGACAAACGCGGAGTGGCCTTCATCTTAAGCTGCATAGTTAATAGCACTCAATATTAATAAAATCGAAAGCCATTAAGTAGGAAGGAACCTTGTACCCTTCTTTTTCCGGTCCATAGAGGTGTTTTGTTGAGTATCTGATACTCATAACTTAACAATAGTATGTTGCAGCATACACATTCCCAAGGAAACTGTTGCATTTCACACACCAAGAGAACTTGACCAACAAAGAAGAGAAACAAACAAAATGAAAAAAAAGGGACACAATAAGTTGCCGATATTTGTTAGAGGGGAACGGATAAGAGAAAAACAAAAAGAAATAGTTTCCGATGCGGGGAATCGAACCCCGAGCTGCTGTGTGAGAGACAGCGATGTTAGCCATTACACCACATCGGATGTTTGTTAGAGAA